ATTCTAACTCATGTGTAGGTATTAAAATAACTGCCAATAAATACCGTATTGGGATAGCAATTCTAGTGATTATGCTGTTAAAATGTGACATTGTCCCACAACTAAATCCAAGCCTTTTATGGAAGCAAATGCCAGGTTTCTGTTTTGTGGCATCCAATCAAACCTAAATCATCTCTGCCATAACCTTTGAAAGGGGGATCATATGAAAATCATTAGGATCCGTTGACCGGATCAGTGCATCCCAAGTAAAAACACAAACCCTCCTGAGTTCTTCACCAGAGGAAGACCTAAACAGGTGGCAAAAAGGAGGTTTTTATCTCCTTCTACCTCGGCGTACCTGGATTATTTCTGAACTGGTTTAACTGGTTGGTTCAGATGCTCCAGATCAACCAAATGCATCAATGCCAAGACAAGCCAGAGATCAAGCGAGGGGGTATAAAAAAACACACGACAGAGTGCATCTACAGGTTAGTAATGTTAGAATAAAAAAACCCACAGAGAAAAACATGAAAAGCTCCTGCAGCACGAGTTGTCAAAGAAAGTGAAGTTAATGAAATGAAGAGAACATTCGTGAACAATCTCCGTCTAGATTTTACACTAAATCCTAAGAAATATATAGATTTGTTTATGTGCACTTAAAAAATGTTTTATTCCGAGCTCGCAAACGAAAAAAAAATAGTTTAAGAGCTTTGTTCATATCCCTCCTGCAAAGGTTTAGTCAATTTAAACAAAAAAAAAAAAAGGCTTTTCTTTTGTAACGACAAAATCAAACCTGTAGCACAGACATTTGGCAGGTTTAACGCAACTGCATGGAATAACAACAGTTTGAACGCATGTGAAACAATATCAAAATGCTCTACCCTTATCGACATGCAGAGATTTGTTTCAGAAAATCAACAACACACACTGCCTATTTTTTTATTAATTTGTTTTTGTTAGATTTTTTTTTACCTTTTTTTTGTTCACGCTTCACTTTGATATCATGCAATATAGACGTGCAAAAAAGATAACATCTATTTCCACAAAATACATTTTATTTTTTGATGTAACTATAAAAGGTTGTATTTAAGAATGCTATCTTAGTCACATTTTTCTTTAGCATGATGATGCTAACCTATCGCTATATTGATCAGTCGAGCCCCAGAGTTGTAGTGCTGTTGCATTCTGGGAGTGCATTTCCCAGAGGATCGGCTAACACTGACATGGCGGCCCCTTCTTGAGCAGGAAGGACAAAATAGGACTTTAACGCAAAGATATATTGAGGTGCTTCGTCTTTACGTCTATTTCTTAAAAACGTCTACGGGAACCTCACCCTTACTATAAATATGGTTCATTTGGCACTTTTCACATTTTCTTAATATAAAAGGAGGTCTCTTCTTAGCTAATGAGTGTTTTGACTTAACATGTTAAGAGTTTTAGCTCCTTCAAGACATATTTTGGCACAAAATTAACTTATTGTCAGCATCTACCAGAGCGGTATTTAACACTGCCCCCTAAAACTAGCTGCTCCAGCTAAAGGACAGGTTCCGATATGTTTTAAACTTGTCGTCTTAGTACATCAGTTATTATTAAATAGCAGCATTTCCACGAATAAAAAAAAAAAGAGATGTACATCAGTAAACCTATCCAACATCTAAACCTAAAAGCTCCTACACGGCAGACAGAGGACGGGACAACACGATATGCCGAAACGAGTATTGCTTCCAGTACTTGTCACATTTTCATTTTAGTCTCCTAATGTTGAGATAGCTAAAAGAATATTTTAAAGTTTGATCAATGATATGAAATATAACTCCTTCTCACATTAATCAATGCCTTCTTAGGTCTATATACTGTTAAAGCACTTCCCTTCTTGAACAATACTATACCGTGCTGCATGCATGCTTTCTGCATATTTCACCTTTAAGTTTTACAGATGTTTTTTTTTTTATTTATCTGCCTTGGACTTTTAAAAATTAGAAATATGCCTTAAAGTGACTTGATTCTACGGCGGAATAAACAAGTTCCACAAGCTATCTTAGCTTGACAAATGAAGCACAGTATATGTTCGATGTAGAATGGGAGCGCACATTCCACCTACGCGCTTTTTTACAATACTATTTACCATCAAAATCCAGTCAAACCCCTGACAAACTTCAAATACTACCTCTTGATATGTGTTTTAGCAATATGGGAATCCAACTTAACAATACTTGTCTTGAGAGTCACAAAGAAAAATGCGTTGATTTAAAGTGGACAGTTTTCTTGCACTGCGTCCTGCCAGCTCTCACTTCCTCCTTAGAGGTGGTCCTCTGCAGCCCACAGGAGGACAGACTCAATCTGAGGCATTTGCTGGGGCAAGCAGCAGACATGCATCGATCGAAAACACCAGACATAGTCACCCATGGAGCGATGTGTTAGGAGGAGAAGGGGGTGTAAGAATGGGAGTGCACTGGAAAACTGAGGACGAGTGGGAGGGGTGAGGAGAGTGGATGGTGTTAGATGGGAGTAAAGAAGCCTCCTTACCAAGTTGTGGAGATTAAACCCTCACTGGCGCTCCAACAGAGAATGACCTTCGATAGCAATATGTCTGATTCGGGATCCAATTGTTGCTTTTCTTTTTTTTTTTTATCTAAAAAAATGAAGTTTAATTTCCCTGACCTCGTTGTTTGGGTAAAAGAAAAATCAAACACCCCCCTCCTCAGTATTAGCATTTTACATTCTGTCTGAACTCTTGTTCAGACCTTTTATTCTTCCAGGGATTAGCCTATTGGATGTATAACACTGAGCTGCATTTAAAAAAAAATTAAATTTGATCCAGTCTTCTTAACCTGCTGCTGGAAACCCAACTCTTCCCCAACACCCTGCCCTCTGATCTCAAGGAGAAAGGAGCTGACCTAAACCTCAACTGATTGATCTTCTTCATCGACCTAGTCTCTTCCTACGCCTTCAGAATTCAGATACGACATGCTTTGTCATCAAGTTCTTCATATGCATTCTACATATATTTGATATATGTGGATTTTTGTTTGTTTTTTTCCCTGCCAGTCATGATGCCATCTGCAGCACACATCCCTGACCTCGTAGGTCGGGGAAACTGCTCTCTAGCTTCACAGTGCATTAAGACAAAAAAAAATTCAGTGTACTCCGATTGTAAAAAAAAAAAAAAAACAACACAAACAAAATATATTCAACACAATAAAACAACAGCATCTTCAGCAGCCTTGTGGGTCTACATTGGGCAGTAAACGATAAGGAGCTCTGCTCCCTGGATGTGTGTTGAAAATTTCGAATCTGCTCTTTACCTTGTGGCAGTTGGACGGTTCCTTGATAAGGGCGAGTATCGGTGGGGTTATTCATCTCTTTCACTGATATGCATGCTGCCTTTGAAGAGCAAATCTGCACGCAAGGCTGGCAGATTTAGCAGTGTACCCCAGACAAATGACGCTCCCTCGTAACATTTCAGTGTTTTTCGTTTTCTACTCAACGGTTGTGTTTTCTCAGTAGTATGCTGTTAATCTTAAGTGCTCTATCTTGATCTAGTCTGTGGTTTGGAGGTTAAACTAAGGGGGGTTGGAAGACCACAGGCTGAAAAGCAGCAGTTCAACCGAGACTGAGTCTAAAATCAACGGCTCATCTTCATTCGTTTTTAGTTGCAGTTTTGCACTGAGGGTAGCCTGCAACATTTCACTACAGCTACATACAGCAGTGATATTTCGCAGCATGAGAAGGAGTAGCTGAGCAGGATAAACAGGTATTTAGGGTTACTATAGCTGCACTGCAGTCTGTGGTGGGAGTGGTTCCTGCTAAACTAGAAATCTTACTGGCTCCAAAGATATGATGAATTCCCTTTTGTAGCACCAAATACGGCATTGTATTGTTTCCTTTCAGCGTGTGCATGCGTGTGTGCATGTGTTGGTAAGTGTGTGCATTCCCTGTTCTGCTCTTTGACTGGATATATCGCTCTAAGGATCTTACTGCCAGGGGCTGCTCCCTTACTAGACATAAATAAGACATATATTACACTATTTGACATTACTATTCCTCTTCAGTCCACTTACATGAAAACAAAAGATTTAAACCAAAACAATAGTCTCATTTACATTCATGTCAACCTGAATTCACAGATTAAAAAAGAAGACTGCGCTCTATCCGGGCGATATTATTAATAAATAGCGACAATAGTGATAATTCCTGTCGTAATAAGACAATATAATCGTTAGTATTATTACTATAGGAGACTATAGAGATGCTGACGAGCCTGTGTGTTTGCCGGAGTTGGCAGGTTAAGGCGTCGCACTACATCTTGTCAGCAGGATGTGCTGAAACACTAGCGCCACATTTGGAGGAAGGTGTGTGCCTTTACACACCTGCAGGTTGTAGGGTGCATGTGAAATAAAGAAGTGCCCTCACCCTCTTTTTCCTTCGCCGTTGTCCCAATGAGGGAGGCGAAGATATATGCAGAGTTAGGTGGGCGGATGCGAGGACATTTCTTTCCTTACACACTTGGCTAAAGTTTGCAATCTTGTTCTTTTTCAAACTGTTAAAAAGGGGAAGGGTGAAGCAAGGGGGGTGGGGGGTGGGGTTCTGCTGGACGGGGGGCAAATTTCCTCCAACAAAAACGAAAAACCTGTTTGAGGGTACAGTTTGTGGGCTGGAGGGAAAGGGATAGGTAAGGTTTGGATCCCGGTGGGATTCAGGAGGGTTGTACCCTGTAAACACCAACCCTCCACCTCACCATACCTGAATCTCTCTCCCTCCCCGCACTCTGTAGCCTCTCAGGCAGTCTGCCTGTCTAAATGGCATTCAGCTCTGTCCACACAATACACAAACAGACAGCTTAATTTACTGAACAAAACAAAACAATAAAACAAAACAATAAAAATTCCCAAAAGGTCAAGACGTTAAGTAATAAAACCTTATTTACATTTTACAAATTTTTTTCTTGGTTTTTCAGCGTAAGAACTCGCTCTCCTCCCTCCTCGTCTTCTCAGCACATTTTTGCTTTGAGTCAAAAAACTTTTTTTTTTTAATATAGAATACTGAAAACACGCAGAAGAAAACGGCGCAAACGATTCCTTCCAATATTCGTTCTCTCCTCTCCTTTTTCCATTCTCCCTTTCACTTTTTTTTTACTCTCCTCCCCCAAGCCCCCATTCCTTTTTTTCCTCTTTTCCTCCTCATTTCTCATCGGCTGTCAGGTTTAGCCCACCTTCTGTGGGTTGGTGGCGCGTACCCCCTGCTCGTAGGTGATTCGCTGGCTGATCAGGTACTGTGCAGCCTGTGTGGCAGCCTGGGATCCCGTGATGGTCACCTTCCTGTTCCGGGTTCCTGGGATGAACTCGCCTTTCTTGGAGATCTGGATCCTGGCTCCGGTCAGCTCCTGGTACTCCACTAGTGTCTTCCCTCCTTTCCCCAAGATGGCTCCAACAAGGTTTTCTGGGACGGCAATCTCAACCACTTCCTTTGCTCCTTCTGCCATCTTCTCCGTCGCCAGAAGAGACGACGCCATAAGTGGGGATGCTGCACTCAAGTAACCATTAGTGGCTCCCGTAGCAGCAGCCAATGATCCCAGAGAGAGGCCTCCAAGACTTGCGGCGGGATGAGCTGCACTGGTAGATGCATCGCTAGCATATGATGCTAACAAATTGGCTGCAGCAGCTGCTGCCGGGTTGGCATTAGCTGCTACAGCAGCTAAAACCCCTGAAGCGGCCGCGGGATTCAGCCCCAGGCCAAGAGAGTTGGTGTTGTAACCGTAACTGGCCAAGGTGTTGAGAGCGGAGGTGATGGCGAGCAAGTCGTTGCCTGAGAAGCTGGACATGGTGGTTGGGAAGGCGCCAACTCCTGCCAAGCCTGCCTGGCCAAGCAGAGAGGAGGCTGTAGCTGCTGCAGCGGCCGCTGCTGCTGGCATTACCTCGGTGGAGTTGGCGTATGGAGAGCCAGTGGGATTAGAGTTGGCCACTGGCCCTGTGATGTTTGAGTAGGAGATGTTCAGGCAGGAGGAGCTCTGTGGATCTTCCTGAATCTTCTGGATGATGATCTCCACAGCTTTACGGTTTTGCTCGGGCTCGCCACTGATGGTGACCACACGCTCCTGCAGGTTGATCCCCTCAGGTTTCTGGGATAGTTGGACCCATGCTCCAGACTGCTCCATTACTGCCTTGACTGTAGCGCCGCCTTTACCAATGATAAGCCCAGCTGTACTGTTGGGGACAATCAGCTTCGCCTGTTGGGATGGGTGGGGGGGTTTGGAGGAAAAAAGAAAAAACATTATCAGAAGCTATTGGATAGAAGCAATATGGTCTCTGTTTAGCCTAGCACTGCTTTAGCCATGATCAGGCTGTTTGAAAAAATGTGATTGTCTCCACCTTGTGGCTTTCCATCAGTATTGCACTAATGTAAAGTGATATTTCAGCTTTTGAAAAGAAGAAATACCATCACACAAATGAGGATTAAACATCTTCAGCCATATACGAGAGGTAAAAAAAGAAAGGAGCATTCTTTAAAAGAGTGCAAATAATGTGAAAACACTGTGAAAATGAAAAACTGCGCAAAGGTGTTTTTTCTTCATTGCTTTGGTGGAAAATTAGAGAGAGAGGAGGAGAGGTAGAAAGAGGTAAACAGAGTGGGAGGGAAGGATGGATGAGACAGAGAGAGTAGAAAGAGGAATGCTAAAGAGGCTACTTCGGTGGAAAAAAATAACATGGACTCCCAGGGGTCAGCGTTGCCATGGAAACACAGCTTCCACATTCAAAGGGTAGAGAAAGGGAACAGGGCACACACAGATGCAAACACACAATTTTCACGGCCAAATGTAGTGCTGTAAATCAAATTCTACGTGTAAATACTTGTTGTTGGATTTTTTTTGGCAAGAGCTCATCAGACAGGTGTCCAGATGTAAAACTGTGTTCAGCTAAGGAACGAGGTTTACGCTGCAGAAATACTCAGAGCAGTGAGTCTGGAGAATAAGAGCATTATTTAGACATCATCACAGTGAAGATATTAATCTATATATGGAGAAGATGGTGTCATTTGCATTGGCAGCAAGCCTGAAGGAGCGACTACAACTGCAAGTTAAGATCTACCTTTTTTTAAAAGTAAATACCGGTAACATATTAAATAAAAATAAATTAAATAAATGTTTTAAAGTGGTAAAAAATCTACCAAAAGCGACAGCTTGATTGGTGGTGGTGAATCTCCGGCTGCCACTTTAAAAAGTGAGTTAAAACCTTCAGGTCTTTGGTAGAAAACTGATGATTATGGATTGTTTTACAGCATCAATGTAAAAACTAACAAAACATTGATTCAAAAGTTTTCACTGTGAGAAAATTAAAATGCTTTAAAAAACCATCACAGGCTTCAGAACCAAATAGAACATCATCTCCACACAATCTAACATATTTTAGAAACATTTTCAGGCAGAGTTAGTCTGACTAAATACCACTGAACCCCAAAATCAAAACAAAACCTGTTTTAACTTAATTATTTTTATTTTTTTTCCATTTTAGTAAAGGTTTCATTTTACATCCCAAAAACACTTACCAAGATTTAGATGAATAAATTAACAAATATTATAATATTTCATAGTTGGTAATAGCGATAATCCATGTGAGAATAATGCAGCACCACTTGTTGAGTGTGGATCAAAGCAGAACACCTTTAATTTCAATGTGGAACAGAAACAAGTGCAGCTCTGACGTCTGAATGAAGCAGAACGCCATGGCTGACGTGTGCCGGTAATGACGCAGGGCTCTGCTGCAGACCTGACCTCGCATCAGAGGAACATTTCACCTCAACATGAGAAGCCGCATCTGCTTTCAAGTTGTTTCAAAAGTCAACATCAAAACAAGAAAACTGTTTTCCGCAGTTAACAAACATCCGCCAAACATAGCTGTCAATAGACTTAGATTTATTTGTCATTTTGTAAGTGTAAAAAAAACAAAACAAAAAGAAATTTAGTTTGGAACTGCTCTCTGGACAATTTCAACTTTTTAAAAGTGCAGCCTTGAAAAATAGAAAAGCAAATATGTCTTGTAATAATGTTTTTTAATATTAAGTCATAAGCACAGACAGAGGCGGCGGATGGCAATGGAAATAAAAAGTCAGCTTTAAGGAAGAATAAGCAATCATTAAGATTCCTGTTCTACAAAAAAGCAAATGTATTCCAAATAAGACATAACAAATGAAAGTATAAATGAGAAAAAAGAATAGCTGATCCTCATCAGAGGAACATGTAAAGACCATGCTAGTTAGTTGTTATTTGATGCCCTTTTTTATTTCTTTCACACCTTGTCCTGCTGCTGCAGTTGGAAGCTGCAGAATGCAAGTGTGGCAGCATCCCTGATGCTGAGGTCTATTGCCACTTTGCCTCACATGTCTCATTATCTGCACTGCAGCTTTCTCTCAGGCAGCGGCTGAATTTACATAGAAATAGAAAATTAGTAAAGGCTGCGCAGGAGGGAGTCGATACCAAGAGGAGATTTAAACCCTCATGCAGCGTCTCAGTTTTACTCCTTGCTGCTTCAGCTTGAATACCAGAGAATTATCTTTTCCCTGAGGATGTTTGTTTGGGAGACGTCTGAGCTCCTCTCTGGGATTAACAGTTTTGTTTGTTGGTTTATCTTTTCTCTAAAAGCATGAATGGAAGTTGCGACGAGTTTGTATTGATCAGTTAGCTGTTGCTTTGAGTCTCAAACACAGCGAGGATTGTTCAACACGTCTGCTTACGTCCTTCTGCTACTAGAGACTCTGCGACAATCTGCTGCACATATTAATAAGAGGAGCAATGTGCTAACAAAGTGTGAACGCTACTTTCTGCTGAGCTTTGAGGAATGCATGTTTCTAGGAACCTTTAAGCTGAGAGGAAATCCAATATTTAAGTGTGCAGATAAGCACATGGCCCCACACTCTCTTTGAACCAATCAGAGCAGCCTCAGCCAACATTCACTCTTTATGGCTCTGAGCATCATTCTCCATTATTGTTTGGAGCAGTTTATTTAATACCATACAAATAAAGACAATTAACCATATAGTTTTGGTTTTATTAAGGATTTTATGGAATCGATGAAAAGGTCAAAATGAACCCCACAGCTGTTAGCTGAATAAGTACATATATTTAGCTGAATATATCAATGATTGCGAAGTTTCTACATTATCGTTTATTTTTGCCAAGATTGACTTAAGCTGGTTGCGATGGACCGGCGATCTGTCCAGGGTGTACCCCGCCTCTCGCCTGTAGACATCTGGAGATAGGCACCAGCACCCCTCGCGATCCCGCTTGGGATTAAGCGTGTCAGAAAATGGATCGGTGGATGGGCTTCACCTAGTGGCTTCTACTCGCGGCATTAAGCCCCTGTTACACCTTAACGATTTATGCCTGACATACGAATAATCTGACAAAAATGCTGGCATATGTTGGACAAGTTATGTATCGGTTTTGTATAACTTATGAGCACGCTGAATCACGCTGGCACACGTCGACGTACAGCAAGTACGTCAAGAGATCTCATGCTCAAAATGTGTTGAAATATGCCAGGATATGATCATATGTGGCTCATAAGTTACAGGTAAGTTATTTGATCGTTGACATTAAGTGTAAGTTACTCATAAGCTTAGCCAAAACCTATGAGTAACTTGTGCATAACTTATAAATAACTTATCTCCTTGTCTCCAGCGGGGGCATTGCTGCCCCCCTCAGGACATTGGCTTGTTTCATGGGCGTTACGCTGTCATTCCTTAGGCATAAGTTTTGCTGTCGTTGGACATACGCTCTGGACTCATGAATACTCTATTTATACGCCCAAACTTGAAAAAATGCATACCAAGTTCAGGATATGCCAGCGTTTTAGAAGATTCTGGGACGTCTTGGCTAAATTGTCAAGATGTGACAGGGGCTTTAGAAGGATTTGTTTTGCTTAACTTACTTGTATCACCAGTAGACCAACCTCATATGATAAACAAGACATCAAAACTTAATGAAGATTCATATAAATGGGAAAAACGTTTTCAGCCATGTTTATCAAAATAAATGAATTTTCAGAAATATTGCAGGGGCAAGGAAATTTTTATACAGTATCCATCTGGAAAGGCTCCTGTGGAAAGTGTTTGCAAAAGGGAGGGACATTCAGTACAGCCTTTGAGCTGATTGGGTAAATCATCAAGCACTACCTGTCTCCCATGTCAAGACTTTAGCCAATCGCAGCAGCAGTAGCAGCTGTGATGCATCACATTCTTGTTTTGTTTCCCAACTAGCGGAGTTAACAGATAAATCAAACTCCTACCAAAATACGGTCAGCAGGAAACATCTTTCCCATCCACAAAAACACATATTCAGGTTCTTTTGGTCATTTTCAGAAAAGAAATAGAAGGTATTCAAGCTAAAATCAGCACAGCCATGTTGTTGTTTTTTTTACTTCAAACTACCGCTTCAGGTTGATGTCATACAGGTCACTGCATTTCATTGGTCTAAAAAATTTCTGTATCGGTGCTAATGGATCTGTTCATTTCTGGTAAGATGTGTTTTCAGGAGTTTGAAAATTCCCAAATCGCGTGCAATTCCTCCAAAGCCAGTGATTGACTGGAAACTGTACAAGCAATAGTGTTGTTTTCTCCAGTGAATCCAGTTTTTAGGTCAAAATGTTTGCAAAAGCAGCCTGCATACTCCTAACCACACCTGGATGATGTAGATAAGCATGAAAGTAGTAATTAGTAAATTAGTTTTCTGTTCTATGTCATTAAAAAAAAAATTTTTCTGAGAAAGTTTAAGAGTAACTGCAGTTTTGAGAAGTGCAAAGTATTTAAAATTCAGGAAACAAACAGCTGACCTGTAGGTGAAAGCAGTTTGTTGGGTGTTTTTGCAGCTTTAACTGTACAACGCCACAGTTAGAAAACACCTCTATTTTATTAACATTATTCTTGGCCTCAAATGTAATCTTTGAGAGTGATCCTGCAGTAAAATGTCATAATATGGTTTGTTTGCGAGCAGTGAGACAGTTTCTCCTGCTTGAGGACGAACAGGGTCTGGACTGATTGAAGATGAGGGATGAAATAAACGAGAAACCGTGGGAGAGCCGGGAGAGATTTTTATCCACGAACCCTTTCATCCTCTGCACTCCGCTCTGAAGCACGCACAGTGTTGGTGTACAGGTGGGAGGATAAACAGTGGCGTGTCTGAATCCCTCTCGGTGCTAATGATCACATCTACCGTTTCTACATCCAACTGATTCT